GAGATGCTGTAAGTGTTATCAAGGAGAAGAGAAAGAGTTGCTTCATTCTTCTGATACATAAAGATACACTGACAGAATTGGCACTAGTAAAGTAGAAAGCGTCATTGTGTGGGCTCAGGAAATATCATGCACAGGGCAAATTTCTTAAGATTTATGTTATTATATATATAACCAAATTATACCCATAAATTTAATTTTTACCAAAAGTCTAAATCACACACTCGTTTTCCTGAGCCTCCATAACAATTAATTTATGGTCTGTTTTCATACAGCAATCTGAATTAAGTCAGTATCTTAATTTAGGACAAACAACCAAAAGGTAGAACTTATGTTCGGAAAACAGTGGCTCACATAAATCTTAAGAATATAAATTTCATACAAATAAAACAACTTGAGTGGCAGAAGAGCCTTTTTAAATTCCATATTCATGTAGTGAATTAGAGCAAATGCACATATAGATTATGTTCACACTGACTTTTATGAATTGTCCTTGATATCAAGAAGTAAAAGAATTGCACACAGGGACGCCTTATTAAATGCTTCATACAAATGAAATTCACATGAAGTTGCAAACGCTAATAAAATAGGAGAGTAACTTTTAGAGAACTATCTTGGACAAATATATCAAGGGTATCAATTGAATGATTGTCATGTAGCAAAATACGTAAAATTAAGCAACAAAAAGCTAATGGACAATTGAAAGTATCATGAGACATTGGCAGGACTCCATACTCTGGGGACTCTATAAAAGCCTACATTGTACATTTTTATTTTATTTTTATCGGTCCACATTTGTGGTACCTGATGACTACTGTCATGGAAAGTTGATACACACTTGAAGTTTCTTAAATTTTTAGACCTCTCTCCTTTTCTTCCAATTTTTGTCCTTTTCTCACTTATAAAAATACTATGTCTCTGTCTCTTAAAACTTTATTTTGCTGTTCACTTATATATTGGGTTTCTCATGTCTGAGAAATCATTCAAGATTTAAGCCTGTGATTATGAATAGCATGAATAATATGAACATTTTTAGCCATGGTTATTCTAAATAGCACCATTCTCTTTGTGTTTCCTACAATGCTGCAAGTCTCCTTACCAATAGAACTTATTACACATATATCTCCCAAGATTAGAAGTTTCAGCTGAAATACAACACTCTACTTCATTGCATTATTTCCTAATTGCTCTCTGTGTTGATTCAGCAACAGCATAGGTCATGTTCACGCCTTGTTAATTCTTACTATATGGAAGAAAGAGTATATATTATTGTTGTTTATGCAGTAATAGAGTGGAACTCTGGGCCTCCCTCAAATTAGAAAAATGTTCTGATACTGAACCCAGCCGTATGTTCCTTATTTGTGAGGTACATGCATCTAGATGTGTAAAATGAATTAGTGTTGTCAATCTATTTTTAAATATTTGATTAATGAACAAAAGTTATTTCTCCAAGACAGGATTTTTGAAAAACAATTCCATGAATTTCTCTCCCTTTTTTTTTTCAGTACCAGAGATTGAATTCAGGACCTTGTGCTTGCCAGGCAAGCATTTATTCTACTGAGCTATCTCCCCAGCCCCCTCTGCTTATACTCCATAATCTTCCTTCTCATTTTCCTCGTCATCATCCTGATCAATGTCCTTTTCCATTTTGGTCTCTATTACATTAAAATGTTATATGTAAAATTAAAATCTGAGTTTCCTTGTGATAATTATTTTTATGTATTTAGTACAGGGTCTACATGGTCTCACTCCACAGGTTGGACTCGTAGTGATCCTCCTGGTTTCAGCCTCCCACGCCCTGCGATTACAGGCATGTACCACCATGCACAGTCTCGGTCACCCAATCAATATGCCCCAGGGGAGGGGCCAGCATAGCAAGGTGGGGCTTGAATCCTGGTCCTGTGCCTGCCTGACCAGGCACTTTAGTCCACTGAGCATTCTGGCCGGCCCATTTTTGTGATAATTTGAACATCAACATGATTATAAATGGAGCATAAATTTTCCTTTTCTTTTTCATAACGATACTTTTTTGTCCAGTTCATCTGAAATGAAGAGAAGTAATAAATATTTTTTTTGTTTTATTTATTTATTTTTTTGTTTTTTTTTGCTTTTGTGGAACTGGGGATTGAACTCAAGCCTTTGTTCTTGTCAGGGAAGCGCTTATTCTACTGAGCCATCTCCCTGGCTCCTGTAAGCTAAGTTTCCATCTCTCTCTCTTTCTTTTTTTTTCTTTCTTTTTTTTTTTTTTTTGGTGGAACTGGGGATTTAACTCAGGGCCTTGCACTTGCCAGGCAAACGCTTATTCTACTGAGCCATCTTCCTGGCCCCTAAGATTTATTATGATTAGAATTGCATTAGTAACATCTTTACAGTTATGCAATATGTCTTTGACATTCTTCAAATTCTTTTTGGTGAATATTTATGATTCGCATATGGTAGATACATTCCTGACAAATATTTCAATTTATTTCAAAATGAAATTATTCTATTTACTCTTTGTGATAATTTGTATGGTTTCTTTTTCATACTATTTAAAGTTTGCTTATCATTTTCAGATAACTTCTAAATTACTTTCTAGGACTTTAAAATAATTTGTATTTGTTTTTGTTGTGGGACTATACCCTTCCACTTAAGTGACAGTCGTATTCTATAACTAGGCAGTAAGAACGTTAAAACAGAATGTGAAGGTGATATCACTCTAGTCCTATATACATTTACTGAAAGAATAAATATGGATACTAGCAATACCAGTTTCTGTTAGACCTTTCAGGAGATTCTTACCCTTAATAAACTCATTAAGATTAGAACAGAAATTTTAAAAATGTTATTATTTTAAAGTTTAAACCTGGACTTGGAAAGAAAGAAAGCACTGAAAACATGTTTGCATCTAATAAGGAGCAAACATCTTCAGATATATTCTTGTATGGTAGGTATATGTACCTAAATCCAATGATGGAAAGGTTTAAGGAAGACCAAGCCTTGTTGTATTTTTAAAGAACACATCTCCAGGCTAATAATAAT